AAATCGGGAACGGGCACTCACGAAGAGGGTTTCCGAATAAGGTCAGGCTCGCAAGACCAAACGTGGGCGCGCGAAACCGAGCGACCGAGCGATCGACCGTGGGTCGATACTGGTAACTGGTATCGCGCGATGCGCGAATATCGAATATTGTTTTTTTCCCCCCTCGATGAAGCTTCCTCTGCGTAACGAAACCAGTCACCAGGTGAGGTGGTCTAGACGTGCAAAAAGAATACCGCGACCGAGTATGACGTCGCGTCGGGGCACGACGATGCGTTCGACGCTTTCTGAAATAACCTTTGACGGACTGACTCAGATACTCGTCAGCGCGCAATAAAGAAAAAAAGTAGATGCCTATACGCGGAATACTGTCCCGGGTATAATACCTCCGTGCGTAAAGCCTGCTCCATGTGAATGGCGTCTTAATGATCGCGGCCTTCCCCGTTGGCTCGTGTGCACCTTTGTAACCCGACATTGCGTTCTATTGTTGATATGTGCAATACCTTTCCCCTCTCTCTCTTTCTCTATATATCAAGTGACCTTTCGTTGAAACGAATATTGCGTCAGGGTCAAGGTATAATATCGCAAAGTTTTGCGTCCGCCAATTATCTACTCACATCTCGTTTGCGCAATCCGCGAATTCGATCCATCGCCGCTCTTCGCGGAAACTCCATTCGCGTTCGCCGATATGTCGACTCTCTCCCTCTCTTTCTCTCGGATAAAACCGTTCGAGATTACATCCCGAATCGCGAATGATCTAAAATTCCTCTACCCTCGGATATATCCCCTGCGCTTGGTCCACGTCACTCTCGGCGCCACATGAGACGCGTTCGTAAACAGCATCAGTGAACGTTCAAAGCGCGCATCCGCTATCCCGCGTGCGCTTCATCCGCACGTCGCGACCGGCGCGACGAAAGAAGCTCGAGCGCGGAGAGAGTGACGAGAGAGAAAGAGAGAGAAACGAGGAGGAATGAGAGAAACGGTGGGCAGGAAACGGCACGACAGAACGATGCCAGCTTACGATAATTACACGTCGACGGGACAACTCCGCCCGTATACGGCCGTGATTCGAACCATTCCCGGAGCCGCCGACCGACCTCGCGCGCCTGCCTCGCGGCTTAACTCGCTCCGGCTACACCATGACGGATGAATCATTGTCTGTATTAAGTCCTGACTGACATACGCGTTTCGCCGAACGGAGGAAAGATGCGCGGCCCCGCGTCGTGAATTTTCTCTCCCGCTTCCCTCGCTTAAGCCGTGTAACTGACAAATTAATTAGACATTCGTGGGTGTATATAAATTAATATGCAGACGACTTCATTCGCGAGTCGCGGATTTTACGGTGAACACGCGTAGACCGCCGAGACCCCTTAATAAACACATCACCGCGAGCGAGTTATCTTTTTCTCATTTTCGAGATCAAACGGATTTACCTGACGAATTTATCTGACTCATGACGAGTGACTTACACGAAGAGAAATTTATAGGAAAAATTACTATAGAATTTTCGTATAATTGAGGAATAGACCGATCAATCTGGAGTAATTTACTATGTTTTCATTCCATATAGTGCTATTTATATCCATCTATGTTCCATATATATTCCATTTATATCCATGTGCTATTTATAATTTACATTTTATCATGGAAGTATAATAATTTGTTCTACGATACAATGGAGAAAATATAAGTGTAAAGTTTAAGAAAGTATCTGAATAGATTCGCATATTATCCAAGAAAACTTTGTTAAAAATACTATATTTTTTTATTAAGAATATAATAAAAATTATGCGAGCTTTATAAATCAATATATATGGAAAAGTTTCTTAAAAAGCGAACATATTACAATACATACATAATAATCTGTACGATCGATATAGCACGATGTCGATAACTATTCTTTGTCAAGCTCTACTATCTTTTCTTTACACTATTAGAAAACATAGAACGATAGAAAAGAATTTTACATGAGAAAGAACTACAATATCTCCTCTCCGTGTATGACCTGCCGATGTAAGTTTTCTTTCATCCTGAGGTAATCAAAAGTTCGTTGAGATGTTATAAAAATCAGCGAATAAACAAACAAATAAATTATCGATCAAACAGTCGAGCATAATACGTTGTTCAGTCATCTCTCACGAATCCATTCGATAAACCGCCGAGCACGAAACTATAATTAAATCTTATCGGTGGCAAGCGCGAGGATTAATGCGGCTCCGAATATCAGAGAGGCTTATCGATTTTACCGATAATTCGATACAATCAAATCAATATTAGCCGTTTGACAAGAGTTTCGCACTTAGCAGCGATTCGCGATGAATCAACCGTCACCGTGTGAAAGCACGAGGCGTTACTTCAAAGCGTATTATATCGCGAAAGCGCGAATGTTAACGCTCCGAGAGCTAACGATTCTCAGCATTGTTCGCAGATATTCGCCGCAAAATCGCAGCTGCAATGGTTGTCAAACGCAGACGCGCACGATGCGCTCTCGTGCACCCCTCTTATGGTGGAGAATCCAGCCACACGACATAGCTCGCGGTTATTCACGCTCAGCAACTCTCACGAAGACGCACAACATTGCGGCACACAGACGGGCGGACAGTCGGTCGGTCCCTTATCGAGAAACGTTTGGCCGCGTTCTTATCCCGGACATATAATACGGCGCGGTGTCGGAACAATACACCAGAGATCAAAGCTCACCGGTATCTTCGCAATCGGTATCTACGACTTTCGCCGCGAAACGATAAACAATCACTATCTACGCGGATCACCGTATCTCGCTGCTGTGGAAGCAGAAGCTCGATATTGTAAACGGTGCAACGATCGGCCCCGCGAGTAAATCGAAATACAATACCATTTATGCAAGAGTAACATTCACCGCACCATATCGGCGGCTGAGATAAATTAGCAATCGACAGCGGAAGATACGTTCCGACGAAGAATCGGAGAAAGACGCATTGAGTGCCGGGCGGACTTTCATTGATTGTTAGTAGGGTGACTGGTAATTGAAATACTAAAAGTATGCAAATGTAATTCGAGATACGTATAGCTTTCACCTCGTTTCATCAGTTCTCTATTGACTGTACAATTTCATATACTGAAAAAAAGGGCTATCGTTCAGATAATATTAACTTGATCAAAGGAAAACATTTGCTCCAATAACCCCTTAAATATGTTTACCTCAGAAGTAAAAATATAATCGACTATATGATATCTCCTTCATATAAACATTTACTTGCTGTGTGTTACTTACTATGTGTTAAAAATGCGACACATATTGAAATCACAATTAAAATATCAAAATTTATTTTTAGAAAATATTTATTGGATAAAAAAATCTAAATTTGGGACCGATACACAGAAAAAGTGCTAGATTCAAGTAAATAATTACTTTAATACTTTTTAGCAAGTTTTTATTTGGATCAAATAAATATTATTTGAATGTAGAAAGAAGCGATACATTCAAGTAATATTTACTTGATCCAATTTACTTAATCCAAAATTTGGCTAAAATGTATTCAAGTAATTATTTTCTTGAATGTAGTACTTTTTTCTATATAGATGCAACCAATTGTACTTTATATGTACTTTATATGTGTAATATATAATTATAATTATACTTTATAACGTAACTTAATAAGACACATGATAGTATCATAGCGCCAGTCATCAGTGATGATCGCGGCATTCAACGCGTTAACGACAGAGCTATCGCGCGCAGAGGAAGCGTTCACGGACGCACGTTCGCGTGACATTTTTCCACTGATGCGATTGATACGGATACGCAGGTGAAGTTCGGCCGAACGTTTTAGGAACACGTACGCGCGTATGTATCATCGATTTGTCGCTCGAGATTTTCCACGATCGTGTCGCCCACTTGTCTTGCTCCCGAGCCGCTGCCTTCTATAGTCGTATCTCCTCGCGACCAGGTACTTTCGACCCACGTGCGTGCCACATACGCAACACGGGGGCCGCAATATCGGGACCGTGATTGCGCAACGACGCGTTTACTTATTTTTACGTGGCAGCGATTCGCGGGACGCCTACTTGTACGGTGTTAAAGAGCGACGTGCGAATGTAAAAAGGCGCGACCAACCCGCTCGAAAGCTCAGGACAAAAAGGGACGACACACCGTTGGGCCCCTTGCGTGCGTGCGTGTCGCGGAATAGCGTGTGCGTTACCCGTCGTTTTGTTATGCCTGACTCCGCGCGGACCTCGTTACCGCGCTACCACGCGTTTCCTTACTTCCATCGGCGGAGCTTTCACGCTTGTACCGTGCGGCCTATTGTCTACGATCGCGTTTCGATTCAACCACGAGTTCGTCGATTTTATACCGTTTTATTCCGCCTCGAGCATTTCGGCAATTTGCTTCGCCAAGTATCGGCATGTACTGATAGAAAATTATTTTCGACACCAAACATCAAAAATTCTTTTTTGATTTTAACCACAAAAATAGTAGTAGCAATTAGACACTGTAGTAACATTTATTGTAGTTACATGTATATTGCTGCTACACGGAAAAAATATTTTGCTGGCACAGTCAATTTCTCAATCACAGATAACAAAAAGATTTAGCAGAAAGAGCAAAAAGATTTGTTAAAAGTATTAATTGCTATTTGCTTGATATATGGACAGCAAAATAATTTGGTTATGCTAACTAAACGTTTTACTACAATAGTAAAATTATTTTGTCCATGTAACAAATCCTTTGCTGTCCGCGAAGTAGCTGAAAAATTCGCTATGCCAGCAAAATATTTTCTTGCATGTATTATTTTTGCGGTTAAAACTAAAAAGGGTATGTTTGACGTTGAAAATAATTATAATTTTCTTTCAATGTACAGATTTTCCTTCGATTCAGTAAAAAGAAAGATAAGACCAAGGAGGAAACCGCAGCTGATAATTCTTGAAATCGAGATGGCGTGAGAAGAATCGCGTGAATACGCTGAAAGGCACAGATATAAATAAAAACGAGAGAGATCCGCTAATTCGATAATCAGTCTCACCTTTTTCAAATGTTTGTTCACCCATTTCGTGAAGGTCTTCTTCTGTATAGCATCTCGTTCGTCTGCAAACACACGGAAAGAACGGAGGTATTAGAAACGTGTAATCGTCCGCGAAGTCTTTCGGTGGGTATTGTGTCATGACAATTGTCGGACGGTAACATAATATTATTTTGAAAGGTAGCGCACGTCACCGCACCTATTGACACTTACAATATAGATTACTACGAAAATCAAATTTCGCAATTCGTCACACTGATAGATATGCATAACGATAACACCGTATCGTGCCGGCGTAACGTCACGCTTCTAGTATGATTGCGAGCGTCATGACGCAACGCCACCTCGAAATAGGCCTTTTTTTAAGGATGGTCGAGGTCAGTATAACGAAATCAAAGTCGCAGGCAACCGGATCGGGTCAAATCGGAGGTTAAGCAAATAGACAAGCGAGCTAGCAAACGGAAAATCAGTCGACTTGGTAAGCCGCTTGATTAGTTAGTATGCGAGTCAAAAATCCCGACAATGCATCATATGAGTAAGAAAATGAAGCCCAATGAAAAAAAAATACAAAAAAATAAAATTACACAGAATTATAAATATATAATCATATTAATTTGAATCATATGTAAATTAAACATAAATAAATACTGTAATATTTTCATTTATATTTTGTTACGATTTGCTCTATTTTGCTCATGTTATCAACACAGAGAAAAGGGTTTCTTTTAAAGTAATATATCTATTTATTTGACTTGGATTTGTTTAAAACACAACTTTATTTAATATCAAATATCATTTTGTTTGAGTAAAAATGTTGCTTCACTAGAGTAAACTATGTTATATGATAAAAAAAAAAAATATATTTAGAGGAAATAATATTCGGCTTTTAAGGAAAACAATTTATTACATTATATATTAAATATTGTCCAAATGTAACGAAGAAATTCTTTAATATTTTTTATAATACAATATTATTTCCTTCAGATAATTTATTGTTTATGACAACCATTGTAATGTTTGGATGAAAATACAAAAGAAATATGTTATTTGACGTAAAGATATTTATTGTTAAACGAGAAACTAAACAATTCTGTTTGTTAAATCGAACATCCGTTTACTTGCTCCATTACACAAGACAAATGTATTCCAATTAAAGTAATCATATTAAGTCCAAAGAAATCTTTTCTCGGTGCATAAAACATTCAATGATTAAATATCGGCTGAATTCTAAATATCACTCGAATCTGAAATTATCATTTAAGGCTTAATTTCGTCGTCATCGATGCGAGACGCAACGAGTTTATGCAACCGCAAGGACGTCTGCGTCACTTCGGGAGCTTTCTTAAGAATTAATAATGATTATATTCTTGCAACGTAATCGCGGTTACTGTAGCATGCATAAATAAATAATGACGCACACGTTCCCGAAACCAGCTGTCGCGACCAAAGTGAATTACGTGTGGTCATTGCGTGCTTGAAATGTCGTCCGCATTAACCATCCGTAAGTTATATCGATGAAACTTCATTGCGAACACGATCATGGTAGATGGAATTTTCATTTATCGGCACTTAATCATGGATAATCGGCGTGGAAACTCATAAAACTTCGAGCTGCGATTTACAACGTGCACTCGACACGTCATCATCATAGCCCGTGAAAAGTTCACGCTATTCGAGCGACGGTATCATCGACCGGGTATGTTAGAAACGTCGTCAAGCTGACGGTAAGTGTCAGTGTCTAACGCCGCCAGACGATATAAAATAAGAGGTAAAGAGTTACCCACTGTAATACACTTCTAGATTTAGAAATATCTCGAGTGGCTTGCTCTGTGAACGATCACACTTTCCGAGTGCGCCTGTCACTCTCGTAAGAATCACCATCAGATACCTCAATGAACAAGCGTGAACGCAGTTCAACTGTTATGCCATTAAACACGTAACGTGTCTATTGTTATAAATAATATACGATTGATAAAGTTAGCAGTGAACGTGATAATGAAGACGCCAATACGACGGGGATCGCATTAGCACTAGAACCGCAGCTGAGGTCACCTTTTACCCATTTGTAGATTCTTTTCTCTCCGTTTCTTTGGATTTTCATCGCTGGGAAGCCTTCTTCATCACTGAATAGTTGAACAAAATCATAAAGTTTAAGAAGTCTACGGATAATTACAATAAAAAGAGGTGGGTCAAAAGTGATTATCCGCGCATCTAGGATCCAACTAGCCGCGGTTTTAGTGCTAATTGGCAAGTATGTAAATTCGTGCAGGATGACCTTAATTTCGAACATTTTTCCAGAATGGTGTCGGAATTCTCGCGTGACAAGTAACACGGCGGAAACTTTGTTTAGTATAAACGTACGCGGAAAGTTTATTAATGCCTTACACGCACGCACCCGCGGGGCTCCGGAATTTTACAGCTCAACTTGGGCGAAATCGCACAATTCGCCGTAATCTGCGAACCGGGCATTTGTTCTTCCCTGATTAACTCACCTCGTTGTGTGCTAGGCCGAACTTTGACCCAGTTTTAATAGCTTGCCAACAACCCCGAAATTGCATCGGATAAACGTGGCTCGGATACCAATTAATGAATGACAATATTATCATCAAAAAGGAGGTCGCGGCTTGCGCAGCGAATTAGATACATCAATGCTCCGTGGTTTATTAATTTATCGCGGTTTCGGTGCTTGTGTTATCACTTGTCCCTGGAAACTGAAAACTTGGATCAAATAACTTTCTTAAACGTCAACCCTCCTGATATCAGGAAAGTGGGACACGTGAATACGGCTCTGCTCCATTTATTTGTCAATTAGAACGTCCGTGCGTTATACTTCAATTATTTTCGCCCTGAATACGGATCGATCGTGCATCGATGAAGAGAGACACGAGAAGCGAACGTCTTGCTTAATCTCCTTCAAGTTTCGAGGAGAAGAAAATTTAGTTGCCGTAACTTTTTCACACAATCAAGTGTCACACATCTGTACGGCGCTAAATCGATTTCCGATGCTTGCTACGTTCGACTGAGCTTTGTAACATTTTAAGCGTAATTAAATATAGTTAAAGAAAGCATTCATCGAGAAACGATCTGATCTGTTACGTCGTGCGGAAAAATTCCCTGCGTAATCAGTTATCAGTAATTACGTCAGTAAGATTGAATGGAGTCATGGTCTTCCCAACAGCCGCTTCCGAATAGGGTAAAGCATCGATGAGAAATTCCGATCGTGATTGGCCAAATCATTATTAGACGAAGCTATGCCGGATCAACGCTCTGAACATGGAACGACGCCGGTTCGCAGTGGGTGTGAGCAGAGTTGATATCTCGGATATTAACCGAGTTTTGGGCCGGTCTAAACTCGCGTAGGGCAGCTTTCGATCTCTATCAGTCGTGCAACTACGACCTACTACCGATCGCGAACTAATTCCCGGAGAATCCAATTTTCAATGCCACAATCACGGAGATGGGTTTGCGTGAATTGTCGGTCATTAATCGGCGTGGTCGTAATGGCTCGTTTTCGCCAATCTATGCCTATGAACAGCCGGATCTTACAATCAGACCCGTGGAAATGTAACTACAACTTGCGAAAAGCCGTCACCTAAGGCTTGAAATCCTACGTATCTTTTCGGTTAAAAATCACATCATTCTTAACTTTGATGGTGATAGTCCATCAGTTGAAGTAAATAAATTTCTCATTTGGAGAATAAAGTTAATATTGATTTAGTTATTAATATTTTATAAAATTATTAACTAGTAAAGTTATTATCGTCTATTTTACGCCTTTTTAAACGTTTCCATATACGAAGGTAAAAGCGCATCGGTAGGAGAGGAGATCCATGAACTAATCCCGAAGAAATGCGTTCGCACATACATCGACGGATTCTTTCTTCAGAATAAGCCCTTGTTGGCACGGATGCTGGAATGTGGTAACCCCGATAACGGTGATTGATGTTACAAGGGCGGAAGATAAACTTTCAATGAATGTATTCATCGATATCTGGCCTTTTCGGGCATTTCTGACAGTAACTCAACCGATTCGCTTCGAATCGGCATCACACAATGTGTCCATTTGTCGAGTGCTTGATAAATACAAAAGTGCCGTGTTCGGACGATAATAATCTCGCTATATATAACGATATATCGCGATATTAATACACGGTCTGTGCTAAAAAGGTACGCGAAGCGATTTTAATTAAAAAAAAACGGCAAGGCAAATTGTTACACGCTTTCGTTATCTGAGAATATCTTAACCGTTTTATACGTGCACGGAGAGAACATTCGTCAAGCAACCGTATCATTCGGAAAGAACCGTGGAAGAGGCACGCCTCTCGCAAGCATGATTGACATCTACGACTTTTATACCTCGTGCCCACTCGCGAGCGACGACGCGCGTGCATTTTACGCTTCCGTTATTAATTGCCCGGCTTAGTTCCCCGGTGCGCGCTCGTGCAAGCAAGAGGAGGTCGTAACGCGCGGATGAGAGACTCTCGATTTCATAATACACGTCCTTCGCCGTCGGCAGCCGTCAAAGAACCCGGAGGAGTTCCTCTAAGCGCGCGAGCGCGTGATACGAAACCAACAACGCCGGCTGATAACGACGTAACGGGCGCAATCACGTCACGAATTGAATTACTGCCGGACACGATTGCCGGTAATTACGATAAATTAACGATCAATCCGAGACGTAGTGAAAGATACGGAGTGACGTCATCGTGCATGAGCCTTCCGGCCGTTTACTTTTGCGTTAAATGAAAAGCGTTGGGCGTCTCGCATAGTCGTCGTACGCAATCCGAGTGGGCAGAATGAGAGATTATGAAAAGCTACGGCTATTGTTTATTGTTTTTCTACTCGGCTCGCGTTTGTGAAATAGCACGCTGCGAGGTGGTCTAGGCGTGGTACATCGAACCGAAAAACGCTTCATAAATGATTTATTGCGTTGTCTCTTTCATGCGAAGATATTTAATATTACAACGTCAAACTTCGATATTTGATTCGAGTCTCGGAACTAGATAAGAAAGAATAAGAAACACTAGCCTGATCAAGCGAACGATGAAAGAGAGCCGCTGCTCTTCATTATCTACCGATTCATCTTACGTATACACGGTGACAGTTCGAATGTTCCGCACGTAGAGTATGTATATATACATATATACGCCCGACGTTGTTAAAAGATATATTAGGCGAAGAGGCGACACATATATATACACATATATATATATATATATATATAATCAGACATTTATCAAACAAACGCAGCGCAAATCGACATAGTCGACTTCCGAGTTAGTAAAAACCAATGTCACACCGTGTGAGTTGAACTCGACAGTCCGCAAAGGGACGAGACAAAAAAAAGGGGGGGAGGGGGGGGATGGGAAACTCAAAAAAAGAAACAGGAAAAACAGGCTCTGAACTCTCACGAAAAGAAATCTCGGATCCAGCATCCGCATGCCAATTCTCTGTCTCCCTCTTTCCCACCACCTACCGTGCGCCTCAATGAACATCGCCCAGCAGCCCCAGAAAGCCTGGGTGTTGCCGGTGCGGTGTTCCCCGACATCGCCACCATTGCACCACCGTTCCGGACCGTCCTCCGGGAATCCGTTCGCATTCTGACCTTTGAACTTGGAGAGAGACTCCTCGTAACCGTGCTGGGAGCGTTGCTCACGCTGGTGCTCGGCCACGGTGTCCGCCGGGTCGAAGCCGAGCCGCTCCTTGTAGTAAGCCTGGGTCGACATCCTGTCCTTCTCCGGGCCCCGGGCCGTCCCAGCGAAGTAGAGAGTGCAGGTTTCAACGTTCATGCCCGGCCACGCGAACTATCATGACACACTGTACGCGCCTCGCTCGACGCGACCGCGGAACCGACACTGGCTTTCCGCCGCGCGTCTGATAAGAGACGCCCGCTCGTAACTCGGCCGCGCGCCGAGCTCTGCTTGTTGATTATTCGCCGGCGTAACAACACTTGTTCAATCTCGTTAATCGCCCGACAACGTTCGCAAGGAGTCGCTCTGTCCCTTCGGTCCGTCGACCGGTTCGATCGGCTTCCGATTAACGCGAGTATATCTCGCTCGGACGCATCTTCGTAAACCTATCTCTCCCCTTCTCGAGTAGCGGAGGAGCTTCCAGGTTTCGGTTCGATCGTTCGTTGAGTGCTTTCTCGTTTGTTTCGTTTTTTATCCTCGTTGCTCTCTCTCGTCGGTGACGCGACGGAACGCTCGGATCATCCGCCGATTATCGCTGCTGTTTACCGCGGCCGGCGACGTGCGCCAGCTTCGGATGCTGGAACGCGATCGGGTTCTCTCTCGACCCTCTCGCGTCGCTGTTCGTGGAATCGGCCAAGGATTCTCTCACCTTCGAATTCCAACCTGTCGCGCGCGCGCGCGCGAGCGGTATATGCTAATGCGAGCGAGCGAGCGCCGTGTATATCCGCTCGACCTCGCACACGATATGGCACTTTGTGAATTCTCGAAAAACACCCGACTCGTCCGTCGCGTGCTCCCGTCAGTGACGGCACGGGGATGGAAAACCTGCGGCAACGACAACGTGCGCGAGTGAGATTATCGAACGTTGGGTAAAGGAAGTTTCAACTCGTTACGAGTTGACGGAGATGAAACGTGAGCGGAGAGAACCTTGGACGATTTCGATAAATATTCCAATTTATCCAAATGAGGGTCGTAAAATCACTCGTCTACGAACATTATGAGGACTATTTTGGTATTCTTGATTGTACAAACACGAGAATGACTCAATCGTTGCCAAGGATATGTGGTCGGGGAAAACGCTTGCTTCAATTTTTCCGCGAAAAGAAACCGAAAAGAACTGCGAGAAAATTGAGAAAACCCCGGCTTTCTCTGAGTCTTGAAAACTATACAACGATATAACTTTATTCTTAAAGATCTTTAATAATAACTTTAATCTTTAATGATCGTACAAATATGATATGGGCTATATTCCTGTTCTCGTTATCGCCAACAATGCTGTAACAGTATCCGCGACTTTAATATATCGCGTCTTCAGGAGACGATGAGTACGCTCTCAAGCGGTGATGAACACGAGAAACTGTAGAAAAATAATGGGAGCCAAGAGAAACGACGTGGCAGGTAGGAGTGGAAAGGACGATCGATCGATATATCCGTGCGAGATTAGAAATCGGCGGCCTTGATGCATGCCTAAGTAAGGAAACTCGAGAACTCGATCATGGTTACGCCCGACTATCGCAGCTATTATCCTACGCGTGTCCATCAAATTTGTAATCGATCACCCGGCAATTAAGCTAACGACCAGGGTAGGGATTACCTACCTACCACTGTAACAACGCTGTGAAACACATCACGAATAAATACATCAGGAATAAATTTTAATTTACGATTCGCCCAACTCGCAATATTTCTCAATTTCACTGATTCCCACGCGAGTTTCCCCGCAGTTTTGCGGGGAAACTCCGCAACTGCGCAATTTAACCGTATGAAAACCCGACGGAACAAATCTGCCGGAAATAAACGCGAGCAACAACGGGGGAAAATTGAACCGTCGATTGCTAGGTTAGGCGCGAAATATACCGCGCAGCACCGCTGAGAGAACGTAAGCAGAACCGGGTGGTTAACCAGGTTGGACTGATGCCCGACTTCCTCGCGTGCGAGTATCGATCGGTGTTATCCTGCAGTTGCGATATCTTTCTCTAAATCGTGCACGCGTGCACCGCGACAAAAGCAACGGCGCGAACTTACGATCGGAATGAGAGAACGCCGAGAGTTGCGAGCGGAAAGCGAAATCGGACGGCCGGCGACGGCGGACAGATCGAGCGACCCTTTCAAACTGACGATCCGCGAGGAGACTGAGCGCCGACGCATACGCCTGGCACCGGCGAGGCTTAAGACACGATGGAAGCGCGCCTCCTAACCGCGAGACCGAACTCCCCGCATATGGTAAACGGAGAATGGGTACGTGGGTGCCCCCGTGGTCGGTGCGTGTCAGGAAGGGTCGTCATGGACCAATTCGCCCGACGCCACGAAGACGCACCTATACTACCGTTCGGTAGTTGCCCCGCACTTTCCCCCTTTCTCCCTTCCCCTCTTTCGTTCTTTTCCTTCCTCTGTCGTTCGAAATGAAAAAGGAGAAAAGACGCAAAAACTCGATTCGCTGCGAAGTAGCGAGAGCTCGCGTGTATGGTAATGCATGTAGTCGCGGCGAGACGCGCATACACGCGCGATCGGGTCGATGACGCGACGCACGCTCGGTCGATCGCTGCACTTGCAGTTGTGGACCATGTCGCCGTGTGCAGCAATCGGGCCACGTACGTACGTATGCACATACGCGCGAAAGCCGTCACTCTTGCCTCCGCCTGAAATTAGAAACGGAAAGAAAACAGAATGACGCGGACGCCACGCGCCATGCGGTTAGGTGAGGTCATTCTACGCTCGTCATTATGTCGCATGGAAAGCTCGGGACGGAAAGCTCCGCTTGAAACGCCCTAGGTTCGCGGCAAAAGCCGAAGCATAAAACGAGAAGCGACATCCGGTGTGGGGAACTCGGGGGAAGGGGCCTCTCGAGAAATATATACGGGAAAAAACGAGAAACAGTCCCTCGAGAATACCAGCCGACTAGACGCGCGAAACTAATTAACGTTAAACTCTCGGGCTCGAATCAAGATGCGAATCTGAATTCAACCCTCGTTCGTCTCGTTCGTCTCTTTCCAGATCCAATTCGAGCGCATCCTCCGTCTCGAATTCAATTTGAGCTAGACTCGAACCGAGGAGAATGCATCCTTTGCCGCCCGTTGACCCGCGACGTGACTTTAATTGATCTCGTACGCGCCGAGACACGCCTATAATGGACGACGAGCCCTTGTTAATTCATTAAACGCCGAATGGGCCGTATGAGCGAACGAGTCGCGAGCTTCTCTTAATGTCCCCGAGAACTGAATCACGCGTTCTAAGAAACTTACTCTCTCGCATCGTCGAGTACATACACGTGTGCCTTATATGAGCACGGTCTGCTTGCACAGAGCGCGTCATACGCCGCGTGAGCGAGCGAGCGTAAAGGTATGCCAAAAACGCGGATGCATCGAGTCCGAACAGGATCCGTCAATAGGAGCACTATGACGGAGACACCCGTTGTGCCTCAGAGACGAGGAACTGTCTAAAGAGGCGCGCATTAATATCTCCGATGCATTAGTATCTTCTATCTCGCGCGCGCACAGCGCGGAAGAGGCGGTCGAACGAGCAAAGGCGGCGAGACAGTTAACGAACAAGCTTGTTAAAAGACGAGGAGCGAAACTTCGACGATATTACGGCCGACTGCTTCGTAATCGCGCGCCAACACATACATATTCGTGTAACGTGTGCGTTATTTGCGCGCGGAGCGTCGTTAGATATTCGATTTTCCATAAGCGAGAGTTTACTGACTTGAACTTTATTTATGTCCTTGACTGTTTTTTTCTTTTTCTCCTTCGTGTTTGTATCCGTCGTAAAAACTACAAAGAGGAAAGGAGCAGATGCTCCGGGCGAGAGATTGACCTCGGGTCGCAACTCTGAATATCGTTGAGCAACGACGAAATAATTCAATCAAAATGCGACGGTGAAGCATACCGCAGTTAAGAGGTTACTTATAATGACGGAAAATTATAGTTAGTTTCGGCGCAAACATACCCTTTAACCACAAAAATAATCAGAAGAACTATTTTTCTAATAAGTTACAATATAATGTCATTGATAATAATCTTACCTGTATGTTGCTATACTGAGAAAAAGAAATTGGAATTTTGCGCAATAAATGTTTCTTGTGACATTTTCTTCGATATTTACTGATTAGACAAAAATTTGACTGTGACGACGGAACACATATTTTTGTGATATATATCTAAGTTTTCTTATTAATTGGTTTATTTGCTAGGAATAAAATCTTATTTTGCCATATTCGAATAAACGTTTATTTCTGTGAAATAAACTTTAACTTTTTAAGTCTTTCTTCTCAGTATTACTATAAAATATGTTTGGCGCCGAAATTAACTACAATTGTCTATGAGTGTACATCCGAGAAAACGTATTCAACTCTGAACATCTTTATTTACTTCAGTCTTGAAATGCAAATATTTAAACTTGGAACATAGGAAACGTCATCCTTCAAAAGGACATCTTCGTAAAGTCAATAATATGATCAGGAGAAAAATTCAAACATTGGGCGATTTTGAAGCCGCTCGGGTGCCCGTAGCCCCTTAAAATTCGTCCAATCTCAGCAGAGAGCTTCATCAAAATACGGCGAGAGAGGGTCTCCACGAACATTCCTCGTGGGAGCAAGGAGGAACCGGCGAAAGAGAGGAAGGCACGCGCGCTCGTATCGCGAGCGGCATAACGCCAGCTACACGGAGGCCGGCTCGGCGGCATTCTTGCGCCAAGTCGCATAACGGGTCCGTATAGTCGATCTCGGTCCACTCCCGGGGCCCTGTGTGCGAGGAGGTGACTCCCTCCGCGGACGCGATCAACTTTGAAGGAGAGTCTCCGAGGTCCGCCGAGGCTAATCGAGTCGCGCGCCCTTCGCGCGGGTTACGAAAAAAAACGCGTACGTAGCCGTGACTTTAATCTCCGTATTTTCATCTTTGCGACATTAACGAGAGGAGCGCGGCCACGACGACGCGGGGCTCCTGCGGCCGCGACCGACCCTTAAAAGGCCGTGTGAGCCGCCAAAGTATGTGGGTTAGCGCGAGAAATAACGATACCAGAGCGCGTTCGCACGGATGTCGCGAGCGGTAAACCTCGCGCGAGAACAGGTGAGGAGAGTTTCCGCGCAACGGCGGAGGCGTAATTTACGCGAATGCGAACATCCACCGTGTGTTCGACCGCAATGCGATCACCGCCAACGTCGAATAGCGTGAGAGGGAGTCTCTCGGTTCTTACTCCGAGATACTGAAAAATCCGTCCCTGCTACCGAGACTCGCGTGTTTTACGACTGCCCACCGTCGACACGCATCATTCCGTGGGCCTCCGAATGGAATCGTCTTCGTTACGCGAAAGAAATAACAGAATTCCCTCGTAAACACCGACTACCTGCGAGCCGCTGCCAAGAATGGGAAACTCGCTTTGGACGAGTCGAATTCGCGTTCTCAGTATGAAAAGGACGGAACCGGTCGGCGCGTACATTAGGACGCGAAACCCGAACCGGAGCCCACCGATGCTTAGACGAGTCCGCCCACAATCGAATCGCCCTTCGAACCGTGCGCGAACAACACGACGCACAGGCGATCCGAATCCGCAAGGTTCGACATATACGGACATTTAGTCGTCGTGATTATCTTTAAATGCCGTCCTGCTCCTTCCGCCAAGAGCATCGTCTGCCGGGAGAGACGATGAGTTCACCTGCTCGCCCGCAGCACAGGGGAGAAGAAGTCGAGAAAACAACCGAGAATGATTTCATCTCCTCGTCGAGAAACACAATCGCTCGCTAGAGCGCGAGGGACGTCATTTGCGATAATTTGCATTCGGCTGAAAGCATCGTGGTGCGTTAAAAAAGTGACAGGTGCCCGGCTGCAGGTAGAATAACAGATAGAGAGGAAAAGTAAGAGCCCCCTTGGGGAAAGCGGGAGGGTCAAGCGAGGAGAGTTCGATGATGACTAAATCCGTTACAGGAGACGAATAATAACGGAGAGAGAGAGAGAGAGAGAGAGATCCCCGGAATAAACGAAATTTCGATGAAATCGCGATCGGAGAATTTGCGAGGTGAGCGGCTGAAATGTGGAGCGAGAGAAACAGGATGAAATCGGAGTTGTATTCGGCGCGTCGCCGCTTTTCCGTCCGGTAAATTTCCGGGAAAAGTGAATTAACGGCGGCCACTGCGCTAGAAGCCAATTCGAGCAAGAGTTTCGCGATCCAACCAAATCAAGAAGCCGCACACACGCAAACGCACGCTCGAGTCGGCTAAGCACGAGAGTAAACGCGTTATACGCGGCTCCCGTGCACGTCGTCCGCCTCTCGACCAGTTTTGTCGTGTGACTTGTCGACTGGCCGCCGCTGCTCGCTCGCGGCGGCGTCTATTACATAATCGTCGTATTCTGATAAAAACGACTTTCTTCTTCTATAGCTATAGCTTTTCCTATGTAGCAATTACGTCGTTCATCTCGTTTGACGTCGGGTGCAACTTGAAACGCGACGCCGCCTGCCCGACGTGAAGAGAAGGCGTATTACACGACGGCGCGTCGTTGGAAATTACTCATTTTTTTCAACGATCATTATCCCCCGACGCGCTATTCGCAGAACATCGTTTTTCCATCGATCCTCATTGAGCAATCTAGGTAAATTACTTATGTTTTTTCACCTCGCGCCATCTGACTCGCGTGACATCATCGATAATAAACAGATAAATACGCAGCGCTAGACTGACAGTCAACGACGTTCCCGTAAGTGCTAACCCCCAATTCGAGCCCATAAAATAACCCAACGCGTTAAACGTCATATGGTTACCGGTAAGGTATTTTGTCTCTTTCTCCGAGGGCCTACGTGTCCAACCGGCATGAGTCACATACGTTAGAACGATTATATTTTCAACGCCGAGTGGCAAGGCACATTTTCACGTATACGATTGATCCAACGTCCCGCCGATAACGCGGTGCGAAGTTAGTAACACTGAAAGAAGAATTTGGTAACAATTGCCAAGATTTGGTTAAATAGTTTCAACTAAATTGTTTGGTTATCGCAATCAAATCATTTAGTACTATATACTGTATATAGTATATATTACAGTATATATAGTACACGTAATACTAAATGGATTTGACGGCAGTAACTAATTTTAGTCGAATTTAGTTGAGACTACTTACCCAAATTTCGATAACTGTCCGTTACTAAATCCTTTTTTCAGTATATGTTACGAAAGTTCAACAAACTTGGGCTTCTCCCCGCGATATCGAATATTTCATATTTTATCGCGGTGCTCGATGTGTTAAAAGTCCACAGCACGTCCGCGATGTCAACGAACACATTTCGAGCTGATAACAGGTACACACATCGTAAGCAAGCACGCGCTCACGATAACGATAATAAACTGCCGCAAAAGCCGCGGTGCTAGAAAGAAGAGGCGTATCCATTGATATTGACGTATCGATCGATTGAAAACAGGGGATAAGGCGGAGGGGGGGAGAGCGTCGGGACCGCTGTGATTAAACCAAGCGTATGACTCAAACAGACGCCTAGCGTTGCCACGCCGTTCAGGATACCTTCGCGTGTCGAGTATTATTCCGACGGCATAAAGTGGGAATATCACCGGCGACAAGCGATAAAAGATAATCGAAGTAATTTCGACGAGTACCCTCTATTCGACGCTACGGACAGACGAGGAGAAACACATTTCGCGTGAATCATCGAAGGACGGAAAAAAAAAAAGTAAAAATTAGCACGAAATTCCCCCTCGTGTTCGTCACACAAAAATTTCGGTCTTCTGAACGAACCCGTTCCGAATTCACGGTTCTCCCCGTGCACGTGCCAACATCACGACTAGAATCCTCGCGCCGAGATAGAGGTAGCTGGTCGCAGCAAGCGACCAGCGTGCTCCCCGGGTATACCGTAAACGTCGGAGTCACGTCAGCGACCGATAACGTAAACGCACGGTCAGGTTCGCTCGGAAAGAAACATTGACGTTTACCGTGTCTAAGGAACGGTATCGCGAGGACTCTGCCCGCCGCGCGTCAACGTTACTCCGGTACCAGCGCGCTCTCGACCACTACGTACCTACTAGACTAGAATAATGTCACTGACACCCGCGGAACGAATAAGCACACTAGACTGAAACACGAGAGCGAGCGAGCGCTGTGTTCTCCGCATCCTCCGGTGCGCGAGCGCGCACGAGCACAAGTTCACTCCTCGTGCGGCGGACACACGCGCGACACGGTGGCGGCCGGGCGCGATTCGAAACGTGGCACTGCGAATTCCTCTCTCCTTCTCTCTCTCTCTCCCTCTCTCTCTCTTTTTCCCGCGTAGAGTACGCACGCGTGTACATGTATATCGTGCGACAACGACGACGGCGGCGCGTAGGCCAAGTCACCGAACGATCCGGAGCGGAGACTCGCGTTGCGTCGCGTCGTGAGCCAGGTGCTGGAGCGACAAGGAAGACTGTACGAGATGCAGGGTAGATAGAAGGAGAGGAGGACAGAAGTCAGTCGCAAGGACGGAGGCGGCAGCGACGAGAGAGAGAGGAGCACAGGGACACGCGGTGAAGTGGGAGAGCGAAAGAGAGATCCAGTGAGAGGGAGAGGAAAGACGAAAAGACAGAGAGGGGGGGGGAGGAAGAAAGAAAGACAGAGAGAGAGAAGAGAGCGCGCTGAGAGAATTGGAGAGGACGCGGTATGTCGCTCCGCCGTGCCAGGCCACGTCGCCTCGGAACGCAGACTGCCGACGCCTGGACAACTGCCGCCCACCCGGCCGGCCGGCTCTCCCTCGAGAGCGAGATCCGAGAAGCGTACCCCTTCTCCCCCCTCTCCTTCGGCGATCCCCTAAGCCTCAGCACGACGACGAGCGTCCTCACCGCTCCTGCGGAAGGCGAAGGACCATGCTCCGATAGAGGAAGGGAGGGGGGAGTACACGAGGAACGAGAGTAGGAGAGAATAAATGAGGAAGGGGCTAAGAAGGTGTGGAGGTGAAGGAGGATGAAGGAGAGACTCCTCGCACACATCGACGCGGCGCGCGCAATACAGCGCCGTGGTGAACGGCCACACGCCGAAGAAACCAGTAAGGCAGGTCACGGATCAGCAGGGGAATACGGCAAGATGTCACGCGGATTTGCGGAAATGTCGATTTTCGTCGCCTCTCTATCTCTCTCTCTTTCTCTCTCTTGATCCGGAGGAAACGACCGTAACAAAGCTGCCGGCTATTTTGATCGCGAGGACGCGAGCGCCCGACTGCGACTCCGCCGATGAAAATCGGGAAATTGAACTGATAATGCGCTTTATCTTTCAGGGGCTTAGATAATCTTTAACAATCTTGCGTGATACGTCACGTACGCGCGACGTAAATGGCTTTGACGCCGTCATAAAAATCCGTGGATTTAAGCACTTGGAACTTGACTTTGATATCTCAACTATCAGCTTAATCTTTCTCACATTCCTCTCCGTGCATTCGTGGAAACGTAACAAACGGTCGCGAGAAAAAATATTTATCGGGAGATGTTGGGAAAAAAAAAATCTACTCTTCCCGCAATTCCCCGCGCATTCTTGACGCTCCCCTCCTCGATATTCCATGCACGAGAGACCAGTCGTATTTGTATCATAACGGGCGTCATCATCAAGGTATTCACGCCCGATTATTCGGCTCCCCTAACGACGCTCTAGAGTCCGGTCCGGAGAAGCACTCGCGTTGATCAAGTGGAAGACACACGTGGAGCCACCACTACTATTTAGAGCACCGCGCCGGTCATCTTTCATATACCCCACCTAGAGGGACTCCGCGTCCAGACTATTCTATGAGCTTTCGAGCTAATAGAGGTAGAGAGAGAGAGAGAGAGAAAGAGGTAGAGAGGTAGAGAGAGAGAAAGAGCACCGGTCAAATCTTGCCGGCGGCGGGGTCACGCGTTATTTCTCGCAGCCACGTAACCCTCGGCAGTATGCGTGCCTAGGGATGCTTAAATTTGATCAGCTCTATCGATACTTTTGCTCACTCAACAGCGGATACGTTAATGGTGGGCGCGACTCAAGGGCTGAATCAAGCATGTTACTGAGGGGTGAGCACAAAAGTCTACGTTAAATCGACTACATTTGAATATAGAGCAACACAAAATGACATGCTATTTAATTAATGCTACAATCTCATGGTAGTCCTAATTTAAAAAGGAAGCTACTTTTCCCAGCAAAAATGTCGCGTAGGGCATTGACCTTTTGAAGTGGGCCAGATTATCATCAGTACTTAAATAAGAAATACGGATGTAATTAACTCGGCCGTCTTCAGGTTCTCTCGATGCCAACTGTCCCCGGTCACCATACCAGGACTTTTTTTACAATTTACTCGCGTTTTACGTGTAGCTGGCTTGCCAGCAACTTACATTCCTAACTGTACAGCGATGGGGACCGAGATTACTGCAAATATATCAGTAACGCCGCTTCGCGTATGAAATCAGTTTCACGTTGGACGCCGATTATTTTCAAGCTCTCTCTCTCTCTCGGATGCTAATATCTGTGCTCGAGATATCCGTAAAAAGTTTATAAATATATCGATAATATTGAAAATTGTGTAAAGCTCGTGTAAATTATACGCGAATTTAAAACACACCGGAGAAGTGGAACATAAACCATTGTGCAAGTATCAGAACATCGCGAATATCTATTGTTGATCAGAAACAATGCGAGAAAAGTCTATAAATATTCCACAAGGTAAGTTTTCAACAAACTATAACTTTATCTATTTGGCAAGTGTGCATCAATTAAAATGTCGAAAATGTGGAAATACATAGTCTACGTGTGTAAAAATATATATCTACGTTTAAATTACTTACATATTTTTTACTAATGTCATTTGCCAAGTCAAAATAGAACTGTATTACATATCAGCTTATGAAACGTGCCAAACGTGCAAAATAGACTGTCGCAAATTAAGACTAACGTGCATATCGTACGAATACATTTGTGCGAATCATCAATATTATGCTACCAATCACGATACATCGTTTTCACGCGTGTTTTATCATATATCACGGGAAAGGTAAATGTAGAAACTTGGAATGCAGAGAGAAAAATAATCGTTAAACTTGCGTCAATGATTGGAGTGTTTTGTATCTCAGTGAGAAAGTCTTGTATTTAAAAAGAGAGAGAAAGAAAATTCCCACTTTTTAATATTTTTCTATAGTCTTCAAATTTTCGAAAGTCCCATATAAATGTACGACATACGTATCATTCCTATTTTATTGATTCTACGTAATGTAAAAAAGATAAAATATACAAAATTCGATTAAAAAAACATTACTGGATGAAAGAATTAAGGAAGTATCACTGTCCATCGTATGATAGTAATACTAAAGTGTGGTAAATCGCATTACGGTATCGATGGAATGGATGCAACGTCCTCGTGGTATTTCAGTATCTCCTGCTGGTAAGGTAGATTCGTACTATTTTATATTTATAATACAAATGAAATATATAAAGCAATCAAATGTATAATTTATAGGTACATTATGATCCCTTTTTTTCTTTTGGATTAATTTTTTTCTTGAAATCATTAGAAAGACAACAACAGTCGCAAATACAGTCTCACGTTTATTAATCGAGCTAACTCATTCGACCTTTCACCTCCTCCTAACGGTATTCCAAGCGAAACTTTTTGCCTAACTTTTTGCTATATGTGCTATCTACAAGCCTGCCTGTCAAACTGAAACTACCGACGATTATTTAACGATTTGTCCACATGGTATTCATTTATAACGTAATGTTCTCAGCAAAATCAAATTTTTCGAGTGTAAGACCGTTATTGCGAAATCTTTTAGCCTTCTTTAAACGGCAACTCAGTAGAAAATTTTACGCGAGAAATTTACGAACGAATTCTCATACTTCCGCAACACGATCATCATGTGAAAATAATTGTGATGTACACATTGACAAGTAAACCAGGACGAATACCACCGGATACCATCATATGGTGGATACATGGTATTTATGTGGCAACTGACACTTCAAGAGAGCTCAATTCAAATAAGCGGTACTCTAATGTATCATTTACATTTAGAAAATTCACAGACAGAAAATGTCCACAGATAGCTCAAACAATGTTTGTAATCGTCGATAATCTGAAAATAATATTTCTATTTCTATATATAAGATACTCTCGTAATAAACCATGAATTTAACCTCGCGTTTAACTCGTCACTTATGTCCCTCCATTATGTTCCTCCATTTGTGCGCGCCGAGTGTTCACGACGTAAAGTGACGTGTGCTTGGACGCATCGCGAAATATTCTAACGCCGCGCTGCGAATTACGCGACAGTTAACACTAGGTGCCGACCGTAGTGCGCGACACTTGTTCTTCGCTTTTGGTGAAAAATGAAGCAGCGCGAGAGCGCGAGGACGCGCACGAGGTCTTCAGATCTTCCCGCGCGAATTATGGAGTTAATGTGAAAAGCCGGCTGGCGACTCCGGAGTGATCATTGTCCGCGGGTTAAATTTACACGCCAGACCTTCCTGCTCGAGCGTTAAACGCCGCACTGGCGAATGAATGGGTTCACGCATGTCGCGCGCGTACGTTTAGTCTACGCACCCCAACAGCGAGTACAAGAGAAAGAGTACGCGCGTCCAAACAATCGCGTACTACGTTTACCCGCTGTGACACACGAGATATTAGCCTCGCATTAGCGATTTCGTCAGCGGTCTCTTGAACCCGCGTTAAAACGTACACGCGTGGCAGTAATAATTTCGTCTGAAGTTCGCGCGAGCCTCTCTTGCTGTCTCAAGGTGTAACAAATAATGATGATTGAAGTGCCTCCGCACGGAAGCAACTTTCGTGACATCATGCGAGGATTTTAATCGCACAAAATGACTCCCGACACTCTCGTGGGGAAAGTCGACAATAATTAAAAGTAGAGGGCACAACGGACATCGCCGAACGCGTAAACTCCGTACGCCGAGAGACGAACGGAGAGGCGGCTGATGGCGAATAGCCGGGCATCGAACCGTGACCCGAGCACCTGTTGCCGCCTCCACGGTCGCCGCGGCTCAATGTGAACTGACCTAACCTGTCCCTACTTCCTACACAACCGACACAGCCGACTCAAAGCAGGCCGACTCGAAAACGGTACGATTGTTAACAGATTGTGAAAATAATGTTTGAAAATCTGAACGTTTCAAGTTCAATATGTTCTGAGTTTATACGTTCCCATTGTGTAAAGATCCATTCAATTGTCAGTTATTCGAGATATAATTGACAATAGTTATGCAAAGATCCAACTCGTACGGTGTGCGTTTCGAGAAGAATGAAGATGAAAATTTGATACATGATTTAAGAAGTAATTTGTTTTATGCAGAACACTGAGATTCTTCACAATCGTTCAAGAAGTCAAGCATAGTCCAATTTCTTCTCTTTAAAAGTATTCATTGACAAATTTAACGCTAAAAAAATAGGTGAAAAAGATACAACTTGTAAAAAAAATACCATAATTAGTAGAAAATAAAAACTGTTTCGTAATTAATTTCAAGTGTTCATAAGACTTGGATCTTTTTGTTTTACGTATAGCCTATCCTATTAGGAACAAAATTTCAAAAATTATAATTTTGTGGATTGGGTCCTTCTTGCACTATGGCCAATTGAACGATCCTTAGGTAGGAGATCGTATTGTCTTATCGTTGTATTAATTGTATACGGAAAGAAAATACTGTTGAATCAATAAAAT